CGAAGAATTCTAATTCGAAGGAACAAGAAATGAAGATTATTCTTTCAACATTCAATTTCTCAACCCCAGAAGCAAGGTGAAGTTGTAGTTGAAGTTTATGTGACAGATTGCATTGAAGTCTCCTCAATCAATTTGCTGATATCTTTGTACCTGCTGAAGTGATCCAGAAGATTTGTTCTCTCTGATGGTCTCTCTGAAGATTCTCAAACTGAAAGCGCTAGCTTTCAAGAATCTTATCAAGAAGCCTCCTCACCCAATGTGCGTTTAGAGTCAAATTTTGAAGAAAAGGTCAACTGCTCAAGATGAAGTCATTCGTTGAAGATTCCTCAAGTTCATCTTGAAGTTGTGAAGAATTTGAAGATTAATGTTGAAGCCAAGCTCTCGATGAAGATTGACAAGAAAATCCAGCTACTTTTTAAGGGGGAGCTTGTTGGGTCAATTAAGAAAACAAAGCTATAAACCAAGGGGGAGATTGTTGGGTAAAAAATATGGTTTATACTTTGCTTTTTCTAGGCGACTGTATTTTTCTGTAATGTTTTATGAGTTTACGGCTGTGTTAACGGCCGTGAACAGGTTTACGGTCGTAAACCTGTTCATGGCCCATGTCTCATATATATAGGGTGAGGAGTGCATATGGGTGTACGGTAGAAGAGGAGCTTAAGTGTGTGTATTCTAAGGTGTTCTAGAGAGAGAAACAAGAGAGAAGAAGAGAGTGTGTGTGAATCTATTGTAAGGATCTTCATTCATATCTTCAATACATCATAGATTCAAGTTATTCTTCTTCTCCTTCTCTTCTATTTTGATATGGCATCATCAGTTTGATTGGGATTCCGCACCATCAAACGGATCTGATTGATAGACAAGCAGATTGGGGACTTACAAAGAGATTCATGTTTTACAATAATAATAGTTAGTTTAAACGTGATCAAATACCTGCTACAGAGTACAAGCTCTACGAAAAAAAAAGAATTTTTAAAATAATTCGGGTATACCCGAAACCCAATAAACGTACCCTTTACCCGACCCGAAAAAAATCGGGTTACTCGATTACCCGATACCTGATTTACCCGATACCCGAAAAAATCGGGTGGGTAATTCGGGTATCGGGTATTTTCGACAGGGCTAGTCTGGATATGGATATGGTGATTATCTATTATATATTTTCTATTTGTGATTAATTGAATTATTATTATAATAAAGTGGTTAATGGTTTAATGAGTATTCATTCATATATAATGGAAATGGGAATTAAAGTGTTAGACTATTTATAAATCGCAAGTGAATGACATATGAGTTAAATGTGATTCATATGTAATTTACATATGAATCACATGCAATTCACAAGTAAATCACAAGTGATTCACATATGAATTACATGTGATTCATGAATTACATGTGATTCACATATAAATCACATGTAAATCATTAGTGAATCACATATGTTGCATGTGATTCATATGTAATCAACATATGAATCACATGTAATTCACAAGTAAATCACAAATGATTCACATATGAATTACATGCAATTTACATGTAAATCACAAGTGAATCACATATGAGTTACATGTGATTCATATGTAATTTACATATGAATCACATGTAATTCACAAGTAAATCACTTATGATTCACATATGAATTACATGTAAATCACATGTAATTCACATTTAATCACAAGTAAATCACATATGAGTTACATGTGATTCATATGTAATTTACATATGAATCACATGTAATTCACAAGTAAATCACAAGTGATTCACATATAAATTACATGTGACTCACATGTAAATCACATGTAATTCACATGTAAATCACAAGTGAATCACATATGAGTTACATGTGACATATGTAATTTACATATGAATCACATGTAAATCACAAGTAAATCTGTCACAACTAGCATTTTAGCTGGGAAAATTCTATTCTCATGTAAACATTTAACTATTGTAAGGCATGTACTCTAAGTGAATATTATATTCTATGCTCAATCAAAATCATCCATTTGAATCAAAACTCATGCGCGAAGATCAAAACCTAATACAATACATCTCATACCCATCCCCGGCGGATGCGGGGAATCAAATCCCCTCCCCTTTGTATTTTGGGCTTTTCCTCAGCCATCCCCGACAAAAAAAAACAAGTTTAATAAGCGATCAAAACCAAATGTCATAATCTGATTCTGTTTACATCAATCACAAAGTTTAACAAGCATCAAAATGAAAAGTGACGATTTGGTATATAGATCGTCGAACGAAGTGACAATTGACGAACTCTTGGAACCAGGAACATAATTTGATATAGGGACTCTATCTCTGATGGTCTAATATAGATCAACTCATTTTAGTAGACTTAATTCAAATTCAATAAATGAGTGATATATATATATATATATATATATATATATATATATATATATATATATATATATATTCACTAGATGATTCATTTGTAAGATGATTCACAAGAAAAAATTCCCAAAAAAACATCTTTATGATTCATTTTTAAGTAAATTAAGAAAAAATTCATTTTTATGACAATTTTAGTGAATAACAACAAAATCATTGTATAAATGAATCATCGAGATGTTTTTTTGATAATTTTTTCTTGTGAATCATCTTACAAATGAATCATCTAATGATTCATTTGTTTGTTCGCGAAAAAATATGTAGAAAAAAAAACTTCTTACCTTCCTACAAAAAATTTCCTTCTTATTTGATCTTGACTCTATATATAATATATATATATATATATATATATATATATATATATATATATATACATATATAATATATATATATAATATATATATATATATATATATATATATATATATATATATATATATGATCATAAAATCAGGGGTGGGGCGAGTTGGGGATTGTTATACCCAGCCCCGTCTCCATCCCCGATTTTAGCAAAATAGGGATCCCCAGCCTCGTACCCGATATCCATTTTAGCGGGGAATACCCTTCCCCGATTGGGGCGGGTCAACCGGGTTCCTCACCGGGTCGGGTGAAATTTTCATCCCTAAGCATTTCTAAGACCTCTCCAACCCTACTCCATTTTCTACCCCATTTTTTACCCCAAAAAGTATATTCCTAGAATATTCCATTTTTATAACTTATATATATTGTCAAATACACCCCTCTACTAATTAGATTTTAACAAATACTATATATTATATTTTTTCATTACAAAAACATTATAAATTATATTATCATAAATAAAATGTTTATATATAATAAGTTTAAATTAATTATTACTTTATTATAAATAATGATTAAATAAATAAGATTATATTTATAATAAATATATCAAGATCACGATCGTATTTGATTACTATATTTTATAAACTATGTTAACGTATTTCAAGTCTTTAATCTATATTTACGATTAATTAATATAAATTAGTATATAATATGATATTACAAATATTAAATATTACATTTAAATTATAATTAATAGAAAAAAATAAACTACAAATGTATAAAATAAAAATGAGAGCGACTAAAATTTGCAACCCAAACTTCAACTCCATTTTTGGAGATATGAATAGTATAACCCCAAATATGGGGTTATACTATTCATATCTCCAAAAATGGAGATGGAAATGGGGTAGGGTTGGAGAAGAATGGGAAAGAAATGGGGGGGGGGGGAATAGAGTTTGGCGGTGGGTTGGAGATGCCCTAAGAGAGTTGAAATCGCCAATTGAGAGGAGATACAGATAGAGAGAGCAGTGTGGTGACAAATTGGGAAGCGATAGAAATAAGGGCAAGGCGGTGGGAATGAGAACGATAGGTGGAAGAGATCGATTGGAGCGATAATAGGCGGAAGATGACAAATTAGGAAGAGATAGAGATAAGGGTAAGATCATCTCCAACCCATCTCCATTTTTCCCCCCCATAAATGGAGTAAAAAATGGGGTAAATAGTGTTTCATCTCCAACCCTACTCCATTTTCTACCCCATTTTTTTACCCCAAAAAGTATATTCCTAGAATATTCCATTTTTATAACTTATATATATTGTCAAATACACCCCTCTACTAATTAGAATTTAACAAATATATATTATATTTTAACTTAATATAAATTAGTATATAACATGATATTATAAATATTAAATATTGCATTTAAATTATAATTAGTAGATAAAATAAACTACAAATGTATAAAATAAAAATAAGAGGGACTAAAATTAACAACCAAACTTCACCTCCATTTTTGGAGATATGAATAGTATTCCCCAATATATGGAGGAATACTATTCATATCTCCAAAAATGGAGGTGGAAATGAGGTAGGGTTGGAGAAGAATGGGGAAGAGATGGGGGGGGGGGGGGGGGGAATGGAGTTTGAGGGTGGGTTGGAGATGCCCTAAGGCGGTGGGAATGAGAACGGTATGTGGAATCGAATCAAAACCACCTGAGAAACCTAAGAAGGCAGCGAACATCTAAAAACCAAAACCACCCTCTTGAATCCTTGTTACTATTCATAACGACCATGCCCATTAACAGAATATATAAATATAAATGATTCATTGTTTACTTTATGATGTGTTGCTACACCTGGTTGCTAATTATGGTTAATATTGGTTATGGTTAATGGTTTTTGTCGGTTAACAATTTTGGTTAATGGTTAATATTGATAGGGCTGGTCCAAAGGTTTTTCATGCCCGGGGCAAAACGATACAATAATGCCCTATTTTTTATGTCGTTGAAATACAACAAACCAATATAGAACATAAATTTCAAAATCAACAATGTAACAACTTTTTTACTTAAAAAAAACTTATTATACAAACTAAATGTTTCAAAATCCCTATGTAAACTTGTCTTCATGCATTTCAAAAAGCCAATAATATTAGTTATGCTCTCATAGTGCCTACTAGCTAGCTTAAAATTAAAAATCAATATTTCAAATTTGTGAGCTGTTAAATATTCAGTCTTCTTAAATGGTAAATATGACTTTATTACAAATGGAACTAAAGGGCCTAAAAAACCCCAAAATTCCAATTAGGCCTAAGAAAACAAACAGAAGAACCACAACAAAATGGTCACAAATCAAAACACTAAAAATATTATGAAATATATGGCAAGCCTGTTCTTGCGAGACTAGCAAGTACCAACAATCCAATCATAGATGATTAAACCTGAATCAAATTTCCAAAAACTATCATCAAACTTTAGGAAGGAGTTCTCACACCAAATGCAATCCAAACCCAATAAAAACTTAAACTCAAGAGAATCTAGCCCAACCAACCCAAAACTGTAATAAACTTTTTGTGACAATCCAAAAATAGCAATTAACAAATGATTAAATAGTAAATATGGTCATGTACACAGTAAAGTTATGTACATAAGTCCGGGGATTTCACAAAACTAGAACCACATATGTAAAACAGATTAGACCACAGATTAGACCAGAAACTCCACTTAGTATCTAGTTTTCATAGATTACTAAACAATAATTACTCAGAAAAAGCTGAAACAAGATAATAAACTAACAAGACAAATATTACATACCCTTTGTTCTTTAAACTCCCTTCAATTATTAATCCTAAAACGTGATAAAACAGTTAAAAAAAACGATTGTGGTCGAATACCACTAAACATACGACCAAAAAAACACACATTTATAAGACTACAAAACATTAAACAATAATTTTATAAACTAAAACCAAACAAAAGTTAAAACGGCAACAAATAAACAATGAAAGTTGAAATCTTTAAACAATAAAAACAGCACATAGTAAAAACAACAAAGGATAATTACCATAAAGTTTGACATTTTATGTAATTGAAAAGATAGACTTATTATCCTTTACAAGTTTTCTTCTAATTTTAACCTAAAAGTTAAAAAGCTTTTTGGTTCATTTGTTGGCTATTTTGAAGAATCTGTACTACCAAGAAGTAAGAAGTAAATAAAACCAATGAACGATAATGAAAGAAGCATGAAGGCAGTTACTCCAGTCCTAATTCTTTACTACCAGTAAAAACAATTCTACTTTGATCTTATATTCATTAACCTTCTTCAATTCCAGGATCACCATCACCTTTTTTAGTTCCAGAATCTGTTATTTAGCTACACATCAGGCTATTTTTTTTTTATTTTTTTTTTTGTGCTGGTACCAGAATCATCATCACTTTCTTCAATTCCAGAATCAATATCCATCTTCCCCAACTGTTCACTAGATCCAACTTCTTTAGCAGCCCCATTACTTCTCACTTTAAGTTCCTTATTCTAATAAAACCAAAAAACAATCAATCAAACCGTTTCTTGTAATCCAATCACATAAACATATATATATATATATATATATATATATATATATATATATATATAAAACTTACCACCTGACCAAGCTGATCATTTAATCATCAACACGGCCTTAAAAATATCCTCCTTTTGACCATATACCTTGACCTTTCTCTCCAATGTATCAACCTAGTTATATGTATATTAGTATCAAATGAAATCGGTTAACCATGGTTTGACCATAATTATAAACTAACCTCTATCCATGTCTTGGATTCTGATTCCATCTTCAAAATATTGATGCCATTGGTGCCCATGAAAGGTTCAACTTGGTTTAACTCAATGTTTATGGCATGATTAAAAATATATGTTGGCATTAAAGGTGTAGGGATTAATGGCTCTGTATATCCCTGAAAATGTTGGTTTTTAATATTAGTATACATAAAACTGTAATAATTACCGGTGTTGAAAGTAGAATTGTTTGTTTTACCTCTTTGATTGCTTCCTTAATGAGGAATTCAGCAATTTTGACTTGGAGATCACTACCCAGAATTTGGATATATAACTGACCATCTTTCTTGGCTGGGGCATGTTCTAGAATCCTGATTTCGGCTTTTGAGGTACTGTGAATGGAGGTTATGATTTCATCTTCATCACCGATAATCTTGAGTAACTAAAAATAAGAACAGAGTTCTATAGAAACAATTCATATTTGTGTCGTCAAGAGAGAAAGATTCGTGTAGAAAAGGAAAAAAAGGATGTTTACTTACTTCTTTTGCACGAAACCTATAGTGTACCTTTGCAGAATCGATTTGAACTGGTTCACCGTTTCTCAGTGGACCTGTTAACAGAGACATGATTTAATCCACAAATTCATTGATATAAGTCGAATAATTGACAGCAGTTATAGTGCATATCGATTAAACAAGCCCAGAATTAGGGTTTCAAAGGAATCATCGGTTTTGATGTCAATATAGCAGGATCAATCCCATGAATCTAGATATCAAAGAATTGAGAAATCGTCACCTGAAATTTCTTACCAATAATTTTCACACATTTGACTTCATCGCTAATCGGTGTAGGTTTAGACGGAATTCGATTTGGATCAACCATCGTCTTTCCCTTTCCTTTCCTAGGGTTTGCTAGGACGGGTGTTTGTTGGGATGGATTGATTTGTTCCAATCCAATCAAGTAAAACCAAATTGATTTCGGTTTTCAAAACATGGATCCGAATAATACAAACTAAATTCAAATCTGATCTGATCCGATCCAATTAATTCGGTTGGATCGGTTTTTATAATTTGGTTTTTAAAAACTAAAACATTTTAAAACGACATATAATTATAACATTACCGCATTTTACACAATAAGCAAAAACCTATTATTTAGTTATGATTTGAAATTTATAAACAACTATTAAGAATGTATATTTTATTTTAATATTTTATAGATAAAAGAAACTTTTGAGAGAAGATGCATATTAATATTTTTATTAGGTGAAACTTTTTGAACCTATTTCAAAAAATAAATTACAAAATTAATAAATAATTATAGATATATATTAAAAATAAATAAATAATAAACTGTTATTCAGTTTTTTTGGACTATTCGGTTTTTATTTTATAAACCATAACCAATCCGAAATCCAAAATAACAATTCGGTTTTGTCGAAAACCAATCCAAAAATCTGAATATCCGAACCAAATAGTCAAATCCAAATTGTCCAATTGGAGAATTCGGTTTTATCCAAATACCAAACAGCCTTACTTTTGAGAGAGAGATGAGAATTGTAGGCGATGGAATATTGGAGCGATTCTTGATAGAATTAGGGCCTAGAGATTTTGTTATGTGGCCCGATATTCGAGTGTTGTTATTGGGCATCTAAATATTAAGCCAAAACCACTATAAAAACAAAACTTATAACCCAATCATGATTACCGTAATAAATGAAGTTATTTATTTATTTATTTATTTATAGGTTACATTCTCATTCAATTTGTCAAATATCATTTTGTGGTTATTTTGAAATAATTTTTCTTTACAACATGTCATTTTATGAGTTTTTTTTATTAAATTACACATAATATTTTAATATAATAAGTGTAATAAATATAGTAATAAATGGATATCAATTTCATTGATGAAATTGCTTTTTAATTTCAAAATTTCCAAATTAAAGCTCTTTAGCTTTTATTTATTTATTTATTTAAATTATTTGTTTAAATTTAAAAGATTAAAAACAGCTTGTTGTCCGTTTGTCATCTCACTTGTTGTACGATGATAATTAAATTAATGGTATTGCTATTTGCTTAATAAAAATAAAAATAAAAAAGCAAACAATTATAATCATTCATTATTTTTCTTATTTTTTTAATAAATTCAAAGTTCTCAAATATTTTGACCTTTATATTTAACTTTTTTTTAAATTAACTCATGTAATACATGGGTCTCACACTAGTTTCTAATAAATGAAAATAATTTTGCCACTTGTCATCTTCTTATGTATTATGTCACATGTCATTTTGTGGTAAATTTAGATTAAATTATATCTGTGTGTTATTTTGTGTTTTTTTTCCATTTTATTAAATTTCATATAATATTTAAAAATATAATAAATGTAATAATAAATGTATATCCAATTCATTAATGCAACTTTCATTACAATTTCTAAAATTCTAAACTGAATCAAATTATTTTAGTTGTTTATTTATTTAAATTAATAGTTTAAATTTAAAAGATAAATAAGCACTTCAATTTTAATAATTAATTTTTTTTTCTTATAAATTTAAATCCTGCATAATAAATGAAAATAATTTTGCCACTTGTCATCTTCTTATACATTATATTACATGTCATTTTGTGGTAAATTTAGATTAAATTATATTCATGTGTCATTTTGTGGTTTTTTCCATTTTATTAAATTTCATATAATATTTATAAAAAATATAATAAATATAATAATAAACTAGGTGGGTTCGGTTAAGACCATACTTTTAGTCTTTTGTTTATCGGTTATGTATGTGGTGTAGCGATATATAGTGTGTCATTGGTTGTTATGTTTGGGGTTGGAACATGTCGCTTCTGTGTTAAAGTGTCTTCCAAAGACACCTGAGAACTAAAGTGGCTTTACAACACTCGTTCATATTCTTTGTATTGCAGTTTGTATGTTTGGTCTCATGGATTACAATAAACCAATATGTTTGATGCATTTACTTATTTTGTATGTTTAAGTGTTTAACAATTCTACATAACATCTATGCTTATGGAACCTGATTAAGAACATTTAATTTACATGATTACATACCAATCAAGATTCAATGGGCACTTTCTTTCATACTAATAAAATATGAATTCTGCTAGAAATTGTTTCATATAAAAGTTAGATTTGTTAAAAAGATTTATCTTTTTTCTTCTTTCATAGTGACCATTGTTCCAACTCCATCTCTTTGAAATAATTGCTTCAAAAACAGTCCAGAAATATTTCCATCTAGTAGATGCACTCTCTTCACACCTCCCTGTGGTAATAAAAGTTTATGTTAGATGAGGGCATTTACGTCTTTTTGTACAAACAAAAGATGTAGAGAAAGTCTCTGACTCCCTATTCTATCTTGCTCCACTGTTTTTGGTTAGTTTAGATAAGGGTCTGTATACGTAAGGTATGTTTCGTTTCTAGACATGATAAACCGTCTAAATGAGACTAAATGACCATTTTACTCTTACATTTAAGAAACAAATATTAAGTAAAAAGAAAGCAATCGGTTACTCTGCACACAAAAGCTACAACACCCAAGTCCGAAATATAACCATTTGATCTACACAGTCTCTGTTGATCACCAATAGCAAAACCATTCCCATGGTGAAAGTCAAACCCAATTCCATCCCGGAACGTGCGATTGGCATTGGAATTGGAATTCGAATTCGAATGGTCTTTCTCAACAATGGCATTTACGTAATTATCAACTATTTCACTTTGCTTCATCAAGCTATCCGCATATTCAACACTCAAAAACCTAATAACACTGACCAATTCATCCAGTTTGTTATCAGCTATTTCACGTTGTGCTTTTTCTGTATTTTTTTTCCCAAAATCCAGGAAAAAACTCACACGATTCATATTGCATAGCAGAAATGCAGAAGAAAGGCATGTTATTACCTGCATTTGCTCCAAATCTTTGCTAAGTATAAAAGAAACACTTATATATATGTTAACATATTAAGTTTTGTCTATTTTAGCTAATTAAAATCCTAATGGTGTCAAGGGTCCAAAGCATGTTTATGTATAATTTCATTAGTTTTTTTTTTGTGGAAAAATAGAATAAAACAATTACAAACATAGAAATCAAGTATCCATGGAAACTTAATGAGGTTTTGACATTTGACCTCATATATTTTCTGCATTTGTGTAGAGGGAACATTCGTAATAGCCTCTTGTTGTTGCCTTGATCCATGAGTATGCATGAGATATGAAGGTAAGAAAAAGTGGCCCCCACTGTCATAGTTTAAATAAGTTTATAAAATTGGTCCAATTTAAGAAATCTAAAACAAAGTATTAGCATCATAACTTTAAATCCATACTCTTTCCACTTTCTTGGAGACACTACTCCACAAGTAATTTGCGGCTTCTAACCACCTTGGTTGAACCAAAAACTTGTTTACTTGAGCCGCCCAACGATACCTCTCATGTCCACCATCTATGGAAATGATGTGTGTCAGTGACATGTCGACATCCGTCACACATTTAGCCCCTAACTTCTCTGCCAATTTCCATAACTGATGAAATTATGTTGTCAACACACGACATAAAAAAATCTTACACCCCTTCAAGATTTCACCATGAGCTGTCGCCAACACCTGCAAGAGTATATAACTTTTGGAGCAAATTACAAAAAAAGGTCACTAAACTTATTTCTTTTTTTCATATTTAGTCTTAAAATAAAAATTGTTTTAAGTTTTGATCCTTAATTTAAGCTTTTGTATATATTTTTGATATTGTTGGTTCTTATTTCAAACTTAAGAACCATATTTGGAAGAACTTCATCATAAGGAACAAATCTGGTACGTTTTGCTAAGTATAGGGACCATTTATGTAATTTTGTTCAAAAATTAAATTCTAACCTGTCTTACATCTCGGCCTGTGAAATTATCTCCAAGTTCCTAAAATGGAAAGTTAAACCATTAATTAAACGCAATTTTTGAACATATGCAACGGTTTGGTTTCCACTATGTGAAATGTGATGGTTGGAAATCCAGTCCAGGTTAGAAATGGTAAACAAAAAGCATATGGGAAAAAAATAAGGACAGATGCTGGCTTTTTTTTTACCTAGAGTGCCTTTTTAGGAAATTTTGAAGGTTCTTAGAGCTGGGGTCGGAACAGAGCGGCAGTGCGATTGGGTTAAGAGCGGTGTCCATGGTAACCCGATGAACAGTACCAAGGAGGCGGTGGAGGTCAGAACGCAAGCAGGGAAAACATACCTGGAGCAAGTAGAAAACGGGTGAAGAAGAAGCGGAAAGCGGTGGAGACAAAGAGTAATGAGTTTCGATGGTGTGGTGGTTGTGTTTAGAAGCGTCGTTCAGAAATGGAGGAATCTAGAAAAAAAAATTGTGGGAAGCACACGAACCGAGGCAGGACCGGTGGCGGAGACGTGAGAATGACACGTATCAGCGCTCATCCTTATCTTTACACCACTGTTAATAATTTAAGGGACCAAATTGCCAATATTATAAAGTTTAGTGCCAAAAATCTGAACCACTGAAAATATGAAAACTTATGGACCATTTCTGCCAAACAATTGACCAATTCACTATTCATCTTGGTGCACAACTTTATAATATATATATATATATATATATATATATATATAAATGTATATCCAATTCATTAATGCAACATTCCTTATGCATTTCTAAATTTCTAAATTGAATTAAATTATTTTAGTTGTTTATTTATTTAAATTTTTAGTTTAAATTTAAAAGATAAATAAACACTTCAATTTTAATAATTAAATATATATTTTTTATAAGTTTAAATTTTCTAAATTGTTATATTTTTATGTTTGTTGAGTGTGATGTAAATAATTCTCACTATGATTAAATCAAAATAATATATTTATATTTATATTTAAGGTCTTTTAAGTTATCCCACATTTTACTATAAATACTCTAAATTCCATTCTCTTATTAAATGAGGTGTAAATGAATCCTA